CTCACGAAATTATTTCAGAATGCAATCAAGGGTAAAGCTTTGCGCATGCTTTGGATATATTATAATCTAATCTATTTAATGTAGCAGGAATTTCGTAACAGTAAACTGAGTATATTAAACTAGATATGTTAAAATGCTTTATTAATGTATAAAATTGTAAAAAACAAATTAATATACAAACACCCAACGTGTCTTATACGTATATATATATATATATATATATATATATATATATATATATATATAATAGAATAAAGGTACCACATTATTTAAAGCGGGTAAGTCCACAATATTCATAGCGGTTATGTCCACACTATTTTTAGCGGTTATGTCCACACCTCACCTATTTATAGCGGTTATCTTTACACTATTTATAGCGGTAATGTCAACGATATTTATACATTACTTCCGCACTATTTTAGTCGGTAAATTCTATTGATAACGATAAAGTCCACTACATTAAAGCTGAGAACAAACTATCGGACGCGTCCGTCACCCGTGGCTGACAAACGCGGCTTATTGAAATCTAGCCGGTATATTTAATAGTACACTGTGCAAACTATCGGTCGTAAGACGCGAACATGAACTTGCGTCGCTCTTGAGCGTTCAGACGTCCGAACAGAATCTAGCCATTTGTGCGTCCGCGGACAGTGTGAACGGGGCACGGGACGCGTCCGCGGACGTTTTGAGTGTCACAAGCGAACTAACTGCGCTCGCGATATGATTTGTGATGAAGAAAAATTAATTGAATGTGTTCGTGGTTACGAAAGCCTATATAACCACAAACTGCAGCACTATAAATATATTCATTCTTAAGTACATTTTGTAACGTTTATCATCTTTTTGTAAGTCTGTATACAATGTATGAAATTCACCATACTCGAGTCGTTTTACATTGATATCATGGACCCAAACAGAAGGAGTGTTTGAGTCCACTTTTTTTAGAGGATGTCATAAAGCAAATAGTTCTTGACTTGGCAGAGCCATGCTGCAGTTATATTCGTAGTAGATATAGTTTTTGCACGAATGGGTAGGCTCGACCGGGGAAGGACCACGCTCTTACAGAATACCAGCGAAAAATCGTAACTTTATGCTGCTGTGTTTCGTATGGTGAGTGTAGAGAACCGGAGACCATTTTTACTGGAAACGAGGCATTCCATCTTAGTCCTTACGGATGACAACGCATCTGCATTTTGATTCGTAATCGAGGATAGATGTAGATGTCTTTGGGCCACAACAATTACTTACCATCAGGTGGACTGTGTGCTCGCTTGTCACCTGTATCCTATAAAAGAAAAGAAAAAGAGGCAGTTGCCGCTAACTTTATAAATTCGTCCTCGCCATCGCTGCTTGTTATGTTTCTCGATTGATAAACCTTTATGGAATGACCAAAGCGAGGCGTCCGAAGATGACGTCTCGCCTACTGTGCAGTGTGCACACCGTTAAGCCGCGGCTGACGGACGCGTCCGAAAGTTTGTTCTCAGCTTAAGTCTGGTTATAACGGTCATGTCTGTTTTACTAACGAATGACTTTAGTATACTATATGTATGACCGTAGCATTCTTAATATTTAAAACGGAAAGTAATTTCTAAAGTAGAAAATCACAGCCTGTATTTTATCTTCCACTCTTCTCTTTTTTTTTCACAGAATTTGCACCCTCCGCTAAAGTCTCTTAACCCATAAACAACGACCTGATAAACTTTTATTTACATGACGAGGACACCCATCGGCGTCTCACTTTCAAAGCTAATTTTCTCAGTCAAACAACAATACGACTTAATGTTACATTTAACAATAATGTAATTATACTTGAAATGGCCTGTGGAGATCTGTGATTTTTTTTAAAAAATAGAAAAATGTTGGTTCTAAGGTTACATGCCGAAGCCGCCCATCGACGTCTTTAATAAATAATCAGTGTTTATGAAACTTTTTATATTAAGGGAATAAAAATCACTATTTGTGTTGTCACTATTGTAAAAAATATAAATGTTTTTATACAACGAAATTGAAGGATTTTGTATCATATAATCACGTGAATTAAAATTTGTTATTTGATTATTTTCTTGGTTTGGATTGTTAGCAATCAAGATTTGATCCGTTGAAAGTCTTGACCACGAGAACGCGGAAAAAATGATTTTGAGACTGCGTATTTTTTGAAGTAGTGACAGCATCGTACACGCCTAAGAGATGGATCAAAGGATAGGTACCGCTTCGAGGTGGACTACTGCGCCATAACCATAGAACACAAATTTTAAACAAAAGAAGTCGATAATTGATTTCTTACTCAATGTTTCGATAATTTATTGACCATGAAAAGGCGAAAAAACACAACAGTTTGGTCTGAAAATAAATATGTATATGAAGTTCACTAATAAACTTGAAAAGGAACCTTTTAAGTTTAAAAAGAGGTTGATGTTACCTCACTTAAAAAAAAGCCAAAATAGTATTTGTTTTACTACACGTCACGTCACGTACACGTCAGTTTCTACTACATCATGCCAAAGCCGCTGATGCGACTTGAATGCTTTAGCGAGATGCCTTTGTGGGAAAGTGTTACTATTCACAAGAGGCAATGAATGGGTTAACTAAGCTTTACTCTGATAAAGATAATTCATTCTATACATTGATATTATCGTGGTTATAATAAAATATATATATATATTACAAGAAATAGAAACAAAACTATATAAATTAGGTTTCATTAGAATTATTTACAATTATGTAAGTATATATGGAAATTCCTAAATGTTACTATTATAAGACCTATGAAAATACAATTATTAAATAGGTAAAGTAGGTACATCCACGCTATGACTACAGATTAATTATTGCAGTCAAACACTACTGCCGTTAAATACTAATTGTCTATTTTGTGGAATGAATATTCAAAATATAAATCGACTAAAATAAGCTCGAGTGAACACAAGTTTGAATTGATATTAATCTTTTTATTATGCAGCTGAATGTAAAATGGGCATAAAATATATACCAATATTTACCTTGTCAATTGTAGTATATTTCTGTTAAAATATATACTTTGAAATATGTCACTTTATTAGGTAAAAAGTGCTATAACTGTCTTCGTACAATCTAGCGTATAGGTCCATTTCGTTTTGCTTGTTTTCGTGTTTGCTTATTATGAAGTATTTTTAACGAAAGTATTTTAATAATTTAAACGTACTTAACTTTGCTTACTCTGTTTTTACATTACTATTCATTTAGGTAAGATAATTATATAGATATGTATGTTCAAAACTTAATTTATGCATTCTCACACGTTTCTGTTATACACAATACCCGTCATTGTTGTTTACCACAAAATTCACATAGGTATTTTAACATAGGCAGTCATATAACAAAAAGTATCTCTGCGGGATAAAATCCGGAATTTGTTTATATAAAACAATATAATAAAAACGAAAATTTATATTTATACTATGCTTATCAAATTTATTTAATTACATAATCATACTTATACTTTTTTAAAATACATACAGATTACATGCATTTCGACTGACATGCTTTTTTTTCAAATGATATTTTTGTTTTTTAATTCTTATTATTTTAAAAGTATATGTGACGGGAATAACAATTGTATTATATTTGATAAAATATAGCGCGTCTGCTAAAAATATCAATATTGCAACTTATAAGTAAACGTGTGTACCGAATTAAAAAAAAAAATAAAACCAAAGATACGAATTATTTTATATTATAGGTTTTAAAAGGCTCAAACCTCATGCGAATTCGATCTGATTAGGACGTCTGACATGACACTATATTACAATTTTATACTGAATGTTCATAGACTTAATTGAATATTAAGTACATGGTATATTTACTTTAAATGTAAATAAATGTATGTATTTTATGTAATATGTAATCCTGTTGACGTATTTTAATGTTTTTCTACTAAATGATGCACAAATATTTGATATTTTTTTATAATAAATATTTTTCGAATAGCACTATTACCTAATGCATTTTTTCATATATTTATAAATAATTAAAAAAGGAGTTTTTAATATTGTATTTATCATTAATTTCATTTTGTACCTTTTTAATATAGCATAGTAGGTACCTATAAGAAAATATACCTATAATCATGTATTTTTTACCAATAAATTGTTCTTATAATATTACTTTTATGGAGTTTATATAATATTATAGACACAAATTTTTATTGTTTAACAATACCTACTGTTAATTATATAATTATACTGTTAATTTATACTAAGAGATGTTATTGAGATATTTTTGATCAAATAATTTAGTAATATTTTTTATAAGGTCGAGTCTTGTAATTGCAACTAAAAATATTGGAGGCCTTACGTCTCCGGTTGATAATTCTATATTCATAAGCAAAATACATTGTTTTAAAGATTCGGTATTAAGTAAATTTTATGTAGATTTATATCATCGTCATAAGTAAAGGAAAGCTGTAAATAAAAAAAAATCTATTAAATAAATTTCTGACACAGGCACAAATAGTTGCAATTACCCGCCCTGGCGGGTAATTGCAACTAATTACTTTTTTTACTTTTTTCTGTGGGTACTGCTACCGTTATATTGAAAAAATATACCTTGTTCAACATTTCACAATATTTTTATATCTATGCCCTATTAATAACGTTAAATTTTGCTCAAAATCACTTTTTAGACATGGGTCCGGTAATTGCAACTATTTACCTACAAATAGTGTTGAGAACCTTGTTGTGGTTTTATCGACTGGCATGGAAACAAAATTAAAAGTCAGGAATACAGTTTTATCGATGTTTGTATTGAGCTTAATCAAAGGACGACATCGTACATTAATAATTATTTAAATTGAAGTAATTTAAAATACTTCTAAGGTGTAATTACAATATGTAATATTTTATTTATCAAACAGCCATTTTTACTTATCTTTGCAAAAAAAAAATAGTCTTATCTCATAGACATTTTTAAATACTATCTCAAATATTTGCATATTAAAAAAAGTAGTAAAATGAAATAGGAAATCATTTACATTCAAATACCTCTACTTTAAAAGGAAATATGACTGTATCTTTTTGTTTATTTAACACGGCGTTGGGCAAATATGAAATCACATCCTCTATATCAATTATGGAAATGTCGTTTTCAACGAACTTAAATTCTCTATTATCTTTTTTAGATTTGAGTCCTTTGACCACAATTTTTTCTTGGTTAATATCCTCAATAAGACAAACGTATTTATACGTCCTTTTGCCTTTAGTCGACCAAAATCGAGCCAAAATGAAGTCACCCACGTCGAGATCTTTTTTTTTTACCTCAGATGCTTGTGGCTGTGGCATTTTATTCTGAAAATAAAATCAAATTGTTATCCTTCCTGTACTAATATTATAAATTAGAAAGTTTATGATAATGTGTACTTACTTCTTTTTGTGTAAATATTTTCTTCTTGGCAGCGTAATTCTTTCTTTCCTTCACTCTTTCGCTTTTTATTTTAGGTGTCTTTTGTTTTTGTCTTTTAGAAGTAGATGGTAACGGATCATCAAAATCTTCGTCAAACCTTTCTTCCAAAACAGTAGAATGTTCATATAAACTACCCGCCTTCTGAAAATTTGTACTTATTTTATTAACATAGAACATAGATTTCCCACGATCTTATGCCCCGCGTGTACCTATATCACTTAATAATATTAATAACTACCCTGAATCACTTACTTCATTCCGCCTTAATGTTTTTTTCTGCCCTTTATTCAATCTTTCACTTTTTATTTTAGGTCTATTTTCTTCTTGTCCTTGTCTAGTAGATAATGGTAATGGCTCCTGCAAATCTTCATCAATGCTTTCTTCCAAAATATTTTGAAAAAAAACTTCAGGTTCTTCATCTTCTGAAGAATTCATTGAAGTATATGAACAATCACTCTCACTGTCTGAGTCTAAGGTCTTTTTCCTTTTATTTTTCTTTGCTTTGGGCTTATTTATCAGTGGTTTTTTGTTCTCATTATAACTTGCTCTTTCCAGTTTTTTTAGCCGTTTAGTTTCTTCTGCTTTTTCCTTTTTTTCTTTCTCATTTTTCAGACGATGAAGTGCATCTTTGTAAGTTAGTATTTCACTTCCTTGACTTATCCGTTTCTTTGAAGTTTTAGGTATGTCGTTACGTGAAATAGTTTTTAATAGTAGCTCTTCGAATGAAACTCGTTCTTCTTCTTTGCTTTTATTTATTGTTGAGCTGACTACTACATTATCCAATATTTTTACTTTACAAGAATAATTGTTGGCATTGGTATTGGCATTATTAGGACGTGAAAGTATGAAAGTTTTAGGGTCCTTTACAGTCTCCCACTTTTGAAACGTAACCCGAGTACCTGAGTACGTGTTCATATCAGCCTTTGTACCATTTTCTGTCGGTAGCTTTTTCTTCATATCCCGTGTAATGTTTGCAATAGCCTTATCAATTTCGTCTGGCAATCGTTGTATCTCACTGTTAATTGTTTTAAGGCATACACTTATTAGTGTTGGTACTTTATGTTCTTTCTGACCGTTATCTTTCTTGGTGTGACTTCCTTCAACATTTTCTTCACCATTGTGGTCAGTATCATTATGAAGCTTGTTTTTTTGCTGCTGTTGTTCTTCCCATCTTGACCATGCCAGACTGTCGAATTTTCCTTTTGGGATTGCATCTTTGTTTAAAGGGCATATGCCCGCTTTCCTGAAGCCATTTTGAATGATAGCAGGATTTAAATCATCCCATATATTAGTTATGATTCTGGCAAATTCTTGTTTTGGGAGTTTTGCTCCCACATGGAGTCTTTGCCATTTCACAAGTTCGCTGTCCCATTTGTCTTTCATAGGTTTCATTGTACTACAGTCTAATGGCTGCAGTATGTGGGATGAGTGAGCCGGCAGTTTAAGAACCGTAATGTTTTCGGCAACTAGAAGGTCTATGACATTCAAATCTATATGTGTCTTATGACCGTCATAGACCAATAAGACTGGTCGTTCTGGTCCGATAGCTGGCAAAAAAACGGCTTTGATGTATTGTTCGAAAATGGTGGTCTCCATCCACCCTTTTTTACTGACAGCGTAAGCTGTATGAATGTTATCATTTTTGAACAGCCACTCGCTCCACAGATGTTTCCCTTGAAATATTATTAAGGGTGGGATCTTTTTGCCAAGTGCATTCGTAGCTAAGAGCACAGTGGTGTTATTCCTCCCAGGAGAGCCTGTCGTTCTAGTAGAGGGAAACCCCATCAGACCCACAACTTTAGTTTTGTTGGGGTCACTACAAAAGCTGGTTTCATCCAAATTATATATACATTGCGGTTTGTCGGCTAAACCACACTCTTGTATTGTTCGTTGTAACATATCGAAATAATCGTTAACTATGAAAGGATCACATGCTTTTTTTCGAGCTATTTCTACAGACTGCGGCTTTTTCAAACTTAATTTGTTTCGTTTTTTAAATCCTCTAAACCATTCCTTCCCGGGATAGTTATCTTTAAATCTCGTAACGATTCCGTTCCTTCGAATATAATCAGATATCAATATTTTTACTTCCTTTGAGGTTAATGGATACCCGCATTTTTCCATCATATGGAGATTAGAAGCTACTTTAGTTTCCCACTCTTTTGACAATTCAGTAGGTCTGCCAGGTGTTGGCTGTTTGGCACCGCGTGTCCCGTATAAACGGTGAATAATGGTTGACCTTGGTATTCCGTATTTTACAGAGGCTTGGTAGCTATTAATTTTTTTTTGTCGTACGTTTTCGACAGCTTCTATTAGATCAGCTAATGAATACTTCGTCTCTTTTATTCGTTTATATTTTGGCATCTACAAAATAAAAAAAAAAGATACTCAAAAACTAGAAAACAGGTCATAGAGGTAAAACGATATTGTTTGGTAGTACAGTAGTACAGACGCCAGCACATCAAGCTACTACAATCTGTCAGATTTCTTTAATAGATTTTCGACTTTCCTTCTAGAGCATTAGCTTCAAGATTCATTGGGAAAAATTTACAGTTTTGGGTAGCATGACCTGCTGGCGTCTGTACATCAAATAAAATAAGGTGACCTAAATGCCAGGATTCCACTTATCAAATACTGAGATAAACTGAAAATAAATCATTTATTATGCACTACTACCTAGTGAATCAGAATTTTAATATTTGACTCAAAGAGCGACACTAGCGCCAATAGTTTCAAATATATAAACGAACTATCCAACTACTGCTTACTATGAATAGTATCTTTCGATAAAATATTTTTATCGCAGTAGTTATTTTCACTGTGGCGTCACTAGCATTATCATACTCCATATAAAAGCGGCAGATAAATGCAACTAACCTAAAAAATTAAAAATAGTTGCAATAACCTGACTTTTGATTTTTAGTCTGGTAAATGTAACTGAACCCATAAGTTGGGCTAGATTTATCGTGGAATGAAACAAATACATAAAAAACAACTTACCGTAGTAGATAATCACTTCCTTTAAAAAGAAACCTACCAAAAACCACAAAAACACAGATTTAAATAACTATTGCGCTCCGCGTTTACGCCGCGTCACTCCGAACAAAATGGCACTTTGACAAAAAGTCATGTCATTTACACAGTTCGATAGCTATCAGCACCATCTTAATCTTTTCATTGGAACTTAGGATAGAAGAACAATATTACGCCTGTCGTTGTTCGAAATAGTGATGATAGATGGAGTTATTTAAATTAGTTGCAATAACCATATAGTTGCAATTACAAGACTCGACCTTAACACCTACAGATATTAAATAAAAAAATAAAAAAACAATAATGTGTGATAATTCCGATTAACATTTGTTTAACACGTTGAACGCCAGTGCGTTTTCTTCGTTTTTCCATTTGGGCCATGGGGGGCACCATTTGGTCGACACTTAACTGTTCCGTTGGGGCCGCGGTGGACAACACATGACCGCGAGTCAGAGGCGATTTTAAACGTCTCTATTGGGCCGTCGGGCACAGATATGAAGCTAATATGTATTTGACGTGACCCCCACGGCCCTGCAGACAAACAGATTGTATTTGGTTTTTAGTAAAAAATATGATTTAGAAAAATATGACTAATAATTTCGGGATAAAACTTGTTTGAAAGATTTTAAGGAAAAAGTGTGTATGATAATGTGTTATTTTATATTTTTCTATAAAATTACTATTTATAATGTGTTGTAAAATACTGTATACTGTTACTATTCTGCTTTATCTGGTGAAAGTTGTACTACAAAGCTGTTAGGGTTTAATTTTTCGAGGATAGTTTGATGAATTAAACTATAGGTTTGTAAATCAGAAATATAATAATTATTTCTTAATGTTATTATTTATTACAGTTTTTAAATGAAACAAAATTAAATCAGACTTCAGATTGAAATCAATATCAACGTTACTACGCCTAATATTTTAATGAATTTTATGGAAACAATCAAAACAAAGTAATGGTTTGTTAGGGCAGGTTTCACAAAAAGTTACAACTTTTTTCGTCTTGTTTTTGGCTAATACTCGTCCCATTCCTTTAGTATTGTATATGTAGCACTAGTGACATGTTCGTCGACAATTTTTGCTTGTGCCGTCTTTCCTGACAAGCTTATGCTTCATTCTTATTGGTCTTGAAACCTGACTTGAGGTTTCACTTCTCATTAACAGGCCCTTCAACACCTGTTTCCTAAATTCAACAATTTGGATTTTCGTCCCGGTTACTGTTTGATATAATACTAGTGCATTGATAACTGCAGTGTTCAACAGCAAGTTTATGGCAACTTTTTTGTACCATTTTCCTTCATGGCGTGGAATAAGCCCCCATTTGGTCGGACAAATCGACAGCTCCTTTTGCCCTATTATAGTCTAGCACGATTTTTGGCTTCGATACCGCTTTTCCTCGCTTTGTAATTGTCTGGAAACGGTCGGACTGTTTGTTCGAAAGAACAAGTACGTCCCTTTTATCTTTCCACTTCATGATAGTTATTCCATCCTCGCTCTCTCTAGCTATATATTCACCTGTCTTCAGTTTAGCATTAGCAACCTGTTTTGGTATATTCCTTCTATTTTTTCTAATAGTACCCACTAGGTGTGTTTCATTTTCCAACAGCTTCCTTGCTAAATCAATACTCGTATACATATTGTCAGTATACGACAAGCCACTGCAAAGTGACATTACAACGTTTGCCGGCGTATATTATTCACTTGATCGCTTTCTTTTCCCGCATAAATATTTATTTTATATGTATACCCCGGTAGAGTGCATAATTTAAACTCTTTTATGCCATATTTATGACGTTTCTGTTTGTTATATTGACGGAAAATGATTCTGCCGCGGAATGGCACAACGCTTTCGTCAATACATATATCTTCGCCAGGAGTATAATGCCTTGAAAAATTAGTATTCATGACCTCCAGTAAGTGTCTGACGCGATGTATCCTATCAGACTTCTGAGCATTGTCAAGCTGGGAAAAATGAAGCATTTGAAGAAGCAGTTTAAAGCGATTATGAGACATAATTGTTGCTGCAAACGGGTGACCTGTTATTTCATCTTTTGACCAATAATCAGAAAGCTTAGGAAGTTTTACCAATCCCATAAAAATAATCAATGCAAAAAAGCGTTTCATCTCATGCACGTTAGAAGGAGACCAGTTACGGATTCTCGCTGCTTTTGAAGCCACGCGCCCGGTGATTCTATCAATAGTAAACTGATTTGTGTCTTCTACTATCTGCATAAAAACATCATCGGGAACTAAAAGAGAGTAAAAATCAGCAGGCGATTTGTTAGTCATTGCTAAGCGGAGATTAGTAGGCAAACCAGGATTTTCTGTGAAAGGTATAATTCGACGCTGGTTACCTGTTGGTAGTGCCCATGTACGTGTAAACGGCGTAGTGTTTCCCGAGGTATCTGGAACTGCATGTTCTTCCGCATCACTCTCTTCACTGTCTATTACCATAATACAACGACGTCTACGAGTAACTGGATGGATATTTATGTCTTCTTCTTCAGAGCTTACATGGAAACTATTATTCAACAAGGTGATTTCTAATTCTTCTATTTGTGATAAATCTTCTTAATTTATTTCGAAATCTGCGAACGCATCCATTATAATAAAGCAATGAATGAAATGCAATAAAAAACAATTTAATTTACGTAAACGAATAAACAGAAAATTCTCGAATCGATACGTAACCAATGTAGGTAGCTAGGTAGTCCAAACGTTCACTGCACTGGCGCGCGGGGATCGCGTATCGAGACGGCCGGCGGTCGGCAGGACATGAGCGGGGATGACCGACACCCCGACCCCCGCGGCCCCCGCCAACGAACAACGCGTTTATTTCCGCGTGGGCCACGGGGGGCAACTGTTGAGTGACAGTAATATTTTGGTAAAATCAAGTCACAAATTACTTTTCTCCGATTTATTTCATAAACAAATTCACATTTCATAAACATAAATATAAACGTAAAATTTAACAATCGGGCATTTTAACCTGGCTCCTTTTACTAAATAAGTGAGGCCCATATGTGTCCTCCATAATGTCCCCCACGGCGTTTAACGTGTTAAAAACGTTTTACCTATCAAACGCGACGTGAATAACATTTTTTTGTCGTATTGTCATAATCAGCTCATAAGTTATTTGTAAGAATTTAACCACCTTAGATTAAGTTTACTATTGTTTAATTTAATTCTTGATTATTTCACCACCAAATAATATTATTCAGAAAACTTCATACTGCCAAAGACTAACTAAGACTATAGAAAATTCTTTGAATGCATGTTCAATGACTAATTTTTGTTTATATTTTCTTGCTATCATTCATCAATTTGCACATAAATTCAAACAATAATCCAATGAGTTCAACCATCCTATGAGACGAAATGATTCCAATTAGTTCAACTATTTAATTATTTAGGAAAGTTGAACTTATTGGACAAAAAACGTAAGGGGAGAAATTCATTACCACAGATTAAATGTTTTACTTTGTCCCTTTTAACTTATCTCGCGGTACATAGTATGTAGCGTGGATAATATAGATTATATAATACATTATTTACAATATTATAATTTTTGCCTATGGAATATTACGTTAAATGAAAAAAAAACCGTTGATAAATGACGCAAAGTTAATTTATGCACAACATTCGTTTGTTTTTCCGTTAATGATATTAACTGCGTATTCTATTTCTATGTGTATGAATATTAAAAATTTCACACAATCGTTTTCTTTACTAAGTTCCATGATAATATATGAAGCAAATAAAGAAAGCACAACGTAAATTTTAAACTCTAAATTATAGGCAACGCTTATTTCATCTTTAAGTTTTTATTATGTTAACTTAAATCATGTTAATATTGGACATGACATACGTGGATGAGAATTCTTTAAGTAAATCATCTATTGTTAATTTTTCAGTTGCAATGTACATCGTTAATTTTTATTCATACATGGAAAGAAATTATGTTTTTTTTTTAAATTTAAACTTATTCAATTTTATTCCAATCGATGTTGGGATTGAAAATTTTCCGTTTCAAATAAACGTACACAGTGATGGTTAAGCTATGGTTTGAGTGATGACCTTTTCAAGTTACGAATTTAAAAACTTAATTTTTTGTTTTGCGAAGATGACAGATTTAAAATGATAAAATTGAGAATTACTTATCGTTTGCGTAATTTGTTATTCCGGACGCCATATATTTGAAAATTAGTTATATTATATAACAGCTTGGTTTTCTTGTATTTTTGTAGGTACAAAAAAATTATCATCATCGAATACGATTTTGTTACTTATATATTTTCAAAGTAGGTACTATTTTGTAATGTAATGTTTTCTGATATCTGTGCCTTAATCACATGCCTTTATAATACATTCAATACCGTAATGTTCATCATAATCATCACCATCATCATCATGATCATCATCATCATCATTATCATGAATGTTGTCCTAATTTCAGTGCCTTAATCATGTTTTTGTAAATAAGGAAATACAAACGATAGTGCTAAATATAATTACGACACGCAGTATGCAATATGCGAACATTTTTTTAATGTAATATTGAATAAGATATTGCTAGTCTTTTTTTTAACTAAACTAGTAATCTTTTTGTTGCATGTTGATTGAGATTTTAAAGTTATATTCTAAATGCTGTTTTACTAATTCTTGTGTTAATGTCCTAACAAACGTATCTAATGTTCGTAACATGGCATTTTATAATATGTACTGTTTAAGCTTTATTGTTTTAACCAATAAAATAGTTTCTGTTAAAATATTTTTTTTCTTATCCAATCTTGAACATTACCTGTATTACTTTGGCTGTGAAAGAAAACGGGGAGATCTCCCGCCAGGCAAGTTGATCGGCCCGGGGAGCGGCCAATGCTTCGTGTGATAGTGCAGATCTATTCTATACAGAGTGTGGCGTAAATAGATGTCCATATTGAATTTGCATGATACCTATGTAAAAAATAAGGGTTACAAAAGAGATTTTTTTTAAATTCAAAAGCTCTTCATTTGCTTATTCTTAATTATCAGAAATGATAATGAAAAAATAATGGTTTTTGAGAAAATTATAGCAAAAAAGGTAAGAAAAGATAGCAACGTCGCAAAAAAATAACGGGAACCGTTGGGTAAAAAATAAAAAATGGTTAAAGTTATGTTATAGTAATAACTACGCCACAACCTGTATAATACCGGAGTACTTCGGAACTTTGATAGCGTGATTTAGGCACCGGTGCGTCTTTGCTTGTTTATAAACTGTTGTTTGACCACGAGCCCACCTGATTGTAAATGGTAATGAAGCCCTAGATGATAAATCGCACTGTCTTAGCGTAACAAAAGCCTATTTATTCACTCTTGCCTTGAAGTCGCCCAGATTGTATTCGGACGGAAAGAGAGGCGCCAGCAAATTATTTTACTTTTCTGTATGCATCACGAAGGACGAAGCAAATCATTTTGTTCGAATGCGTGGAATATCAACAACAAGGGGATGGAGTCCCGCCAATCCCTTTGTTGTCCGATGGTGATGGTGAAGAGGGAAATTAAAAGCATATAATTCTTCCTCACACTTTCCAAAAAGCCTCCTACGAAATAGCCATCTATCGACGCACCTAAGACAGTGCTTATTATTTAGTTTGACAAATTTGAGTTTTTTTTTTTAATAAAACTTAAGAGACAAACTACTTACAGTCTATCTGATAGCATACTATCATATGGCTACTGCAGTCCTGGTTGTAGCACGAATGGGTCGGTTCGACGTGAAGGACCACGCTCTCCCAGAATACCAGCGTGAAATAGCGTCTTAATGCTGCAGTGTTTTGTAGTGCGTGTAAAGTATATGCTGATGTAGGAATATATACGATAGCCTAATAAATATTCACGGAGTAATAAATCTACAGTCAAGACTACTAGAGGTATTATTATTTATTCCCCGAACCTCCCAAAATTACATGGCGACCGCCAGGCGGTGCGCTGCTACACTGCAAGCGCACCGCCGGGACTTGCATAAGAAATAAAGTAATTTATTGAAGAAAATAAATTAATCAAAATAAATATATGAAAATAATGTAATAATAAAATGAACAGAATACCGGAAGTGACAAATAATTTTTTAAATACGGATATAAGAAGAGACTACAATTTTTTTGAGAAATCGAAGTCGATTATATACTTAAAGTAAAAATGTATCTTAAAGAAAAAATGAAGAAAAGACCTGAAAAACAAATTATACAAGAAGCTCCAGTAACATTATTTTAACAGCAAAATCAAGATTGACAAGTTCCAAGAACAGAAAATTCGTAATCAAAATTCCCTCAAAGGAAGAGTACCAACTTTATCAAAAATAAATATGAAAGAAAAAAGAAGAGTACGAGGAAGTCCAGGCCTATCGTGAATGTAGAAAACCGGAGCCCCTTTTCACTAGAAACGAGGCATTCCATCTTAGTCCTCACGGGTGATAATGCATCTGCTATTTGATTCTTAATCGAGGATACGAGGGCGGCACCGAAAATTTCGGCAATCAAGGAAGTGACACAACATTACTATTTAAAAATGTATATATTGCTTTTCGAAGTATGCTCCGCGAAATTTTACACATTTTTCTATACGATGGAACCAATCATTGAAGCAACCGTTCCATTCGGAAGTTGGGGTCTCCAAAATGGCCGTTTTATAGGCAGCTTCTTCAGGTGATGAAAATCTCTGTCCACGCAATTTATTCTTTATTTTAGGGAAAGTATAGAAATCATTAGGGCTTAGGTCGGGGCTGTACGGCGGATGGTGTAATAATTCTATGTTTTCTTGCTCTAAAAACTCTTTTTGTTCTGTGTGCGGTGTGAGAACTCGCATTGTCGTGATGGAGGATGATGCGGCGGTTGCAGTTCTCTTTACGGAGTTCAGAAACGACCTGTGGCAAACAAATGCTAGCATACCATTCTGCATTAACCGTTCTTTGTCCCTTCAGAGGAATAGTCGTAACATGGCCGGTTTTGGAGACAAACGTGGCCACCATTTTTTTTACAACACTCCGTGACCGAACAATTTTTGTTGGCTTTAACTCATTTTCGAACACCCAAACTCGTGACTGGTTTTTGTTTCGGGTTCGTACGCGTATATCCAGGATTCGTCACCTGATACGATGTTGTATACAGCATTTGAGGATCCTGCGTGGAATCTTTCGAGAGTTCTGACGCACCAAGTAACGCGAGCCGCTTTTTGCTCTTCACAGAGCGAATGAGGTATCCATCGGGAAAACAACTTTTTTACACCTAATTGTTCATGCAATATTATTTGTATTTGACTCACGCCAATATCTTAAGTTGCCTGAATTTCGCGGTATGTCACACGTCGATCTTCCTTAATTAGCTTACGCACAGCATTAACGTTTTCTTGGGTGACTGCAGTTTTTGGACGACCTTGACGAGGATCATCACTGAGCTTGACACGTCCACGTTGAAATTCAGCAAACCAGCGATAAATTGTGGTTTTGGATGGGGCTTCATCACCAAATGCAGAAATCATCCGGTCAACACACTGTATTTGTGTTAAACCACATTGAAATCATAATAAATCATCGCTTTTGAATTTTCTCGAGTCAATTCCATTTTCTCAACGACTAAACAAGTTTGACAAAACCTTTACACCGAGAATCTTTTTTTTAAATAAATAAATGGTATTCGATTTTTAAAACCAAGTAGTTTTCAATTAAAAAGATTTTAATACGACAGGAACGGTGGAAATATTCCATTCCCGATACTTTTAGTGCAGCCTAGTATATGTAGATGTTTATGGGCCACAGCAACCACTTACCTCAGGTGGACTGTGTGCTCGTTTGTCACCTTAAAAAATATAAATGATATAAAAAATTAATATGATCAAAATAAATAAGCTACATATTATTTGTCCTTGTCGAAGATAGATGTAGATGTCTATGGATTTCAGCATCCATTTACAATTCGTTGGACTGTGTGCTCGTTTGTTATTCTACGTTGAATAAAATAAACAACTAACCGTTTTTCACCAGGTACTCGTTTCAACCCCAATATAAAAAAAAGTGCATAGCAGACTCGCCACCATTCCCGCTATGTAAATTTATAACGGATAGAAAATACTAAAACACCAAAAATATTTAAATGATTTATTTAGAATTAAAACATTGATAACAGCAATAAGTTCTATTACTTGGTTATTATATAATTTATAGCATCATTGTATTAATATCAAAAACAAAAAGTAAAGTCCTAAAGCTTCAACCGTTTGATTTCTTCCATCTTGAAGTCCGTCCTGAAATGAATACATGAATCTTTAATTTGTGTAAAGTAGTAAAAATTATCTTCAATACAAAAAAAAAGTAACGTCAAAAGTTGGTCTTTAAACGTAAATATTGAGAGGTAATGTCATAATTTTAGGTAACAATTGAATTCACCACAGTCAGTAGTGCGATGTTGCGTACGTGTAAGTGCGTGTGTGCGTGCTGCTTACGTGTTTGTGTACCATTTACGTGATCCACGTGCGCGAAGCGTTGGAATGGGTGCACCTACACGCATGTGAGTGTACGTGCTCATGTGTGTGTACGAGCGCATGTAGGTGCGCGCGTGTGCGTGTGTGTGTACGTTTGTGCGTGTGTACTTGCGAGCGAGCACCAGGCGCTCGTAGGCGGGCGAGAGGCGCGCGGCGGTCTGCAACACGTGGTGCGCATGCGCGGCGCGCTCGAGCGCCAGCAGCGCGGTGAGCTGCGTAAGGCGCGCGCAGTGCGAGCGCGCGCGTGTGTGTGTGTGTGTGTGTGTGTACGTGCGCGAGCACGTAGGCGGGCGCGAGGCGGGCTGCAGCGCGTGGTGCGCGTGCGCGGCGCGCTCGAGCGCCAGTAGCGCGACGAACTACGTGAGGCGCGCGCAGTGCGAGCTGTGTGTTTGTGTGTACGTGCGTGTGTACCTTGCGCGCGAGCACGTGGCGTGCGTCGGCGGGTGCGAGGCGCGCAGCGGGCTGCAGCGCGTGGTGCGCGTGCGCGGCGCGCTCGAGCGCCAGTAGCGCGGCGAACTACGTGAGGCGCGCGCAGTGCGAGCGTGTGTGTTTGTGTGTACGTGCGTGTGTACCTTGCGCGCGAGCACGTGGCGTGCGTCGGCGGGTGCGAGGCGCGCAGCGGGCTGCAGCGCGTGGTGCGCATGCGAAGCGCGCTCGAGCGCCAGCAGTGCGGCGAGCTGCGTAAGGCGCGCGCAGTGCGTGCGGTGTGTGTGTGTGTGTGTGTGTGTGTGTGTGTGTACGTGCGTGTGTACCTGCGCGCGAGCACATGGCGTGCGTCGGCGGGCGCAAGACGCGCAGCGGGCTGCAGCGCGTGGTGCGCGTGCGAGGCGCGCTCGAGCGCCAGTAGTGCGGCGAGCTGCGTAAGGCGCGCGCAGTGCGAGCGTGTGTGCGTGTGTGTGTGTACGTGCGTGTGTACCTGCGCGCGAGCACGTGGCGTGCATCGGCGGGCGCGAGGCGCGCAGCGGGCTGCAGCGCGTGGTGCGCTTGCGCGGCGAGCTCGAGCGCCAGTAGCGCGGCGAGCTGCGTGAGGTGCGCGCAGTGCGAGCGTGTGTGTATGTGTGTGTACGTGCGTGTGTACCTGCGCGCGAGCACGTGGCGTGCGTCGGCGGGCGCGAGGCGCGCAGCGGGCTGCAGCGCGTGGTGCGCGTGCGAGGCGCGCTCGAGCGCCAGTAGTGCGGCGAGCTGCGTAAGGCGCGCGCAGTGCGAGCCGTGTGTGTATGTGTGTGTACGTGCGTGTGTACCTGCGCGCGAGCACGTGGCGTGCATCGGCGGGCGCGAGGCGCGCAGCGGGCTGCAGCGCGTGGTGCGCGTGCGAGGCGCACTCGAGCGCCAGTAGTGCGGCGAGCTGCGTAAGGCGCGCGCAGTGCGAGCGTGTGTGTGTGTGTGTGTGTGTGTGTGTGTACGTGCGTATGTACCTGCGCGCGCGAGCACGTGGCGTGCATCGGCGGGCGCGAGGCGCGCAGCGGGCTGCAGCGCGTGGTGCGCGTGCGAGGCGCGCTCGAGCGCCAGTAGTGCGGCGAGCTGCGTAAGGCGCGCGCACCGCTCGCGCGCTCCGCCCGCGTTGCTGCCCGCCCACGCAGCTAGCCGCCGCGCACGACGCTCCACTGCCAATCCGCCCTCCTGCAAACAGACGCCGGCTCACTGTCATGTTCCATACACAGGTTATTATGCAACATATGCCCAAATTTACAGAGGAGGTTCAGAATAGGTAATATAAGTAACTAGTGAATAGAAAAATAACTCAAATATATTGTTCTTTTGCGTTTTAAATTAAAAATGGGTGGAGATGCATTTGATTGTTATTCATAAATATGTAACTCGCAGCAGCCCAGGAAATTGGCGGTGTTTCACCTCCGTGCCTCGGAAAGCACCTAAAGCCGTCCTGCGCCTGATCTCTCTCCGGTCGTGTCGGATTTCCGACCCATCGGAATATGAAATTGAGAAAATAGTGAGTGCATCTGTAGTTGCGCATGCACTCAGAAATTATTTACAGAATTCTCGGCGTCAACATATCGAATGACGTTCAATCTTGCAGTCACTTGGATGAAAAGGCCAAATTGGCCTCTAAAAAGCTTTCCGTACTATGTCGAGAGAATACTGTCCTATTTCATGCCGGCGGATCGCTTGCAACTAACAGGCGCAAGTTAGAATTCTCATAGCTGTCAGGAGTTCAACTCCTCCCACTAGATGACATTCAGCGTAGATCGATTCGAATAGTCAACGATATTTCTGATCAACCTGACTCATTGGCGTTGCGAAAAGATGTTGCATCTCTTTGCATATTCCATCGTATCTATCACGGGAGTAGCTCGTAGGAATTGTTCGGTCTAATTTTAGTGGCCATTTTCCAAATTTGCGATATCACCCATATTATCTGGATAATTGGCGGTCGACCACTGTGCGATTTATTAGAAGTTTTCTTCCTCGCACAACTTCCTAGTGAAATCGACTACCACCAGCTTTTTTTTCGAATCGATACGACTTACGGACTTTCAAGAGAAAAGTCTAGTTTTCTCAGAAAAGTCTAATCCTTTTTTAAAACGTTGATTACGCATTTGCAATTCCCCTGGTGTTGCAGTTGTTCATGATATTTCATAATATAAAAAAAATAAAAAAGATCTGTTTAGATGACATTATTATTATAAAATGGGAGTGGATCTTCAAATAAAAGTCGTCCTCACTCAAAAGTCCTGTTCTACCAACAAGCAAATTAAACTACATTTGCCTATTACCATCTATGCCTCACTCTCACTTATATTAGCTCGCTCATCGTCTAATATTCCGTTCGTAGGTACGCACCCGGTCGTAGTGCTGCCGCAGCACGCAGTGTTCAGCGCGCGCCACGATGTCCGCGACGGCGGCGGCCAGCAGCTCGTCGGCGGCGGCGGGCAGCTGCGCGCGCGCCGCCTCGCCCAGCACGTCCAGCGCGCCCGTCAGCGCGTTCACCTCCTCCTCCATCTCCTCTGAACACATATTTCATACCATTTGTTACGGTTTTTAATAAAATAAAACATGAATAGCAATATATTTAAAGCTTGGGAGTGAAAAAATAAAATTTCTGGGAATATTATTGGACAAACATGTGAACTGGAAAGCCCAAGTTGAAAAAGTCTGTTCTAAAATAAATAGCTACATTTTTCTTCTTAGCAGACTGAGAAGAATTGTAATTCTTCTCACTCTCATGAAACTTTACTAACGGCGTACTATGCATACATTTATTCTGCACTCGATTATTGTCTTTTGCTTTGGGGTAACAGTACAGATGCTATTTAAGACTTTACAGCCCAAAAGAAATGTATTCGAGCTATGAATGGTTTGGCACCAGATTCATCGTGTAAACCGTATTTTAAAAAATTACACATTTTGACGCTGCCATGTATGTACATCCTAAATTTGGTATGTTTTGTTAAAAATAATATACTTTTATTCACAAAGCTAAGAAATACTGCACAGAGAAACTTGAGGCATACTGAAAGATTATAGGAAAAATTGTTTAGCTATGTGTATAAAAATTTTCAATGCACTGCCTACAGAGTTTCAATCACTCCCAAAGGCACGTTTTCGCAGGATTGTCAAACAATGGCTTGAGGAGCAATGCTTCTACTCTGTTGAAGAATATTTAAATTTTATGATTAGGATTAGGAATCGATATTAAAATGAATATTATTTTAATTAAATTAAATGTAATAAAATTATTATGATGATTTTGAAAACATGTTATTAATTTATTAGTTGTGAAAATGTAATTAATGTATTAGATAAATATTTGTATGTCAACATTATGACAAAACATGCGGGACTTAAATAATTTACCAACCTGTAATGTATCATGTTTTCTGCAAATAAATTATGATTATGATTATGTAAATAGGATGCCAAAGGTGTTTTTGTGACCTATCTAAAACGTTTGTTTGCATGAATCATAATTTAAAGTTATACAAATTAAGGCAGTACGGCGTCTCAAAAATCGGTTAACCTTATAAAATCAACTACAGGTGTCTGATAAATTATGGACATACCCCAAGGATCAATATTCGGACCCTTGCGCTTTTTTATATATACAGAATGGGTACCACATATATGCAATAAATGAAACCACATACTTGTTATCGTTTTTGCTGACGATATACAAAAACTGAACGAAATCGGTCCAGTAATTAGGTCAAAAAGTAGCGTTTTAAATTTGAGCTAATTTGAACTCTGTAGAATTAGATCACTAGGTCAAAGTTTAAATGAACTTGAATACTTGAACATTAAAAAGCGATGTTGCCACGCAGTGCAAACTATCACCATGTGAGACTATGTTCGTCGCCAGCGGTGTCTTTTGGCGGCGTCCATCAAAGCCAACGACGCACTTGCGGGCACGCCTATGTCGTAGAGTATTATTATTTTCCCCATTTTGGAAGTTGGAAGTTTCGCTTTCAGTTCACCGCGAATCTTCCGGGATAGTGTGTGTGCGTTTCACTTCTTGTGCGCATTGCTTCAAGTGATTTATTTTAAGTAAGATAGATACAAATAGTTAAACAATTTTCTGACAGTGAAACGGAAATTTATTAGCTAATTGATTTTACGTGTGTGTATTACACACTGTGTAATGAGTTTTTAAGTATATTTTCATTATTTTTAGTAAGATATTGACACTACTTAACTCTTGTGTGTACGCGTGTGTTTTTTTAACAAAATGCCAAGTATGCAGACATGATTTTATTGTATGGCAAATGCGGCCAAAATTCAGGGTTAATTCTGCGAACCTATCGTGAGAGATATGGCGCAACTCGCGTCTGCCCTACTAGCGTACGGATAATTCTAGGAGCTGACCAAAGAACCAGGGAAAATCAACGCATGGCCTAAAACTCATGAAAGAGTTGCTCCGCGTCACTTTCCATCCTCTTTCGAACAACGAGTCTTAGACCATTTTGATCGGAACCCAACCTGCAGCCTTAGATTAGCTGGTCGTGTGTTTAGAGTGACGCATAGAACGATAGATCGAATACAAGTACGTAAAGTACAAGTGAAAAGAAACATACTACGTCCTTATAAATATGCAAAAGTGCAGGCGCTGCTGCCCCATGATAAGCCGATTAGAGAATTTTTGCTGCCACTGGGTACTGGAAAAAATGTCTCAAGACCAACATTTCCTATCGAATGTGTTGTAGACAGATGAAAGCACGATAACCCGAAACGGCATATGGAGCCGACAAACCATGCGTCACTGGAGCTATATGAATCCCCATTTATTTAGGGAATTAGCTCATCAATACCGCTTTTCCATTAATGTTGGGCAGGCATTCACGGAGATCGAATAATAACGGATCAAATATTAACGGAAACCTGAATGCACAGAAGTTTCTCAATATTCTTAACGGCCGAGAGCGGCTTAACACTATGTTCAGCGAACAGCGATGCACACTTACCTGTGCGGTCGGGCGCGCGAGGCCGCACACTCACCTGTGCGATCGGGCGCGGCGAGGCGCGCGGCCCAGGCGTGCAGGCGCGGCTGCAGCGCGGCCCGCAGCGCCGCCAGCGCCACGGCGCGCGCGTGCCGGAAGGCGGCGGCGGCAGAGCCCAGTCCCGCGGCGCACGAGCGCAGCTTGGCGCGCTCCGCCTCGCTGCGACACAGCGCTTCGCCCGCACTCGCCGCCTCGCTCGCCAATCGCTCCGACCACTCCGCGCCGGAATCAGCTTCGTTTATGTACTCCTGCGATTACACAATACGCTTATGATTTTACACTACCCTTATATACACTATTACTTAGGTAATACGCCGCTCTAACCTACTCTAAAGATTTACAAAGTATTTATCTAATAGACATTGACGATTGATGTAAAAAGCGATTAATGACTAGAAACCTAGACCACTCCATGGTAAGTCGTTGTGCGGCCATACATATCTAGGTTAGATCAATATGCGTTTCCAGTAAAAAAGGGAACCATTTCATTGTGTCAATCATTATGTAATAATGTTTAGTGACACTCGGTAGGTCATTTATATATTTATAACAAAAAAATTTAAGACCCAGAACGCTACCCTATGATACTGCAAGTTTACTTATTTTATGATTTGAACGATCTGATACACTCGTGTTTTTTATGCGCTTCTAACGTTAATTTTTAGATATTGGTGTTCTTATTTTCTAAATATGTTTTAAGCTAAGATTGAACATTTTGTTATTTTGAGTATATCTAATAGAAAATTGGAAACTACAAAAAAGAACCACACAAAGTATAATAGTACGCAATTACTTATCGAGTTCAAGAATAACGTTAATATAAGATCGGGGGCACGGCAGTGCCCCCGCCAAGTCGAGCGCGAAGCAAACACTGCCGTACCATCCTTTACTGGAACCATTTCGCCGCATTTTCAGGCCCCTATTTGAGAACCTCTGGATAATACCAGAACGCAGAAATTTTCGTCATCCAGTAAACTATAATCACATACTTAAAATCCAAAATTTCAAGTCTGTAGGTCATTTAGTTCCGAAGTTAAGCGAAAGTAAAGTTTCGCATTTAAGACACTCACTCACTCACTCATGATTATCAGAATAGAACTAGTACTTCCCATAAACTCAGAGAGCTGAAATTTGGTACAGAGTTAGGGTTTAATGGCCACATAAAGGGAAAACTATAAAAACTAGGATAATCGAACATCTGGAGTACCTGGTGACCCTGATTAGAAAACACAAGAGCCCAACCAAACTATTAGAAGAGATCGACATACCGCCTTTACAAAAAATATTCAACTTAGTGGGCCGCTTCATTTGATGTCAAAAATCGAAGGTCTAAAGTATCAGATGAAGAACCCTCAGCTGGTCTCAGCTGTATTAGAGATATGGTAATGCCCCCTTCTACCATTGGTTATTCAATCAACGTTTTCCAAGTGGCATTTTTCCATCGTCAATGGATAGCGGTTCTGGCGACAGATTGGTGCAAGGGTGTCATGTAGCACTTGGTTTTTACCCTTTGTACCCTTCAATGGCCAAGTCACACAACATTAACTATAATAATAAAGAAATCACAGTAAGGAACCTTAGACTTGGCCCGACTTTGTCTAGATTTCATTACTTTTTAGAGATAAACAAGCACTCCGAACTCTAGTTTTTTTACAGAATGTTTTTGGTGGGATATAAAGTACGCGAGGGTAGTTCCTTTTACGTTTTGAATAACATTTTGTTTCGGTGTAATAATTTTAAATTTTTTTAAAGGAAAAAAGGTTTTTTTATATTGTCTTTTTAAATACTTTACATATCGTCGGTATTAATTTAGTTGGACGATAGTTACCGATTTCAGATTTTTTTTAAATTATGTTTTTTGTAAATAAGTTATCATCAATAATTTAAGCGCCTTACGTCCAAATACTCAAATGCTGAATCAACTTTAAGATGGCGATAATTCTCGTGCCGTCTCTATCACTTCCAAGTTAAAGTGACTTACTTATAACAGAGTAGTGCTTGTGTATATGACTTTAAGAGCGTTAGTCTGTAATAAATTCGGCAGCGGTTTTGACTGAGATTTTGCGGGAACTTGGCCGTCGACAGATTGTCGCTCCTGTTTTTCGCTTGAATAATGGTTTGTTTCGTAGTGGAGTTTGATTCGTAAAAGTGATGCGATTTTGTGAATCAAGTGTCTGCGCGTGTGAACTATTAGAGAAAACGATGAAACAAGTGTTTTGATGTCGATATAATAAGCCTCAACTTATTTTGATCGTTTGGGCGCCTTATGAACTTGAGTGGCTGTCGTCAACAACTTTCCGCTGGGTTGAGATGTCGTCCAAATCTCCCAAAAACTTCGCAATGTGGCGCATCAGCATATTGTGAAGAAAAAATATATAAAAATGATGATTCCGAAAGAAATGATGGTTCAGAAGGGCTAGAAGCCAGAGCCGTAAAGTCAGTTTAATAAAAAATTAAATAAAAAACGGTACTGAATAATGATTGATAGGTCAACTCGACTTACTGAGTCGAGCTAATTCGAATAAGTGTGGCAACTGCACTGACCAGGTAGAGCGCGCGCTGCGCGACGAGCTCCCGCGAGTCGGGCGGTGCGGGCGGTGCAGCGGGCGGCGGCGCGGGCAGCGGCAGCGGCTCGAGCGGCGGCGCGGCCAGGCGCCGGCGCAGGCTCGCTTCCGCGCAGCGCTCCAGCGCCGCCGCCGCCTCGTTCAACACCGCGCACGCGCCGTCCACGCTGCCCGTGCTGATGCCGCGTCTGCACGCCGCGCGACGCGCACCACCCACACATACAAATACAATTAGGGCTAATAATCAATCATACACATACACTGAGATCTAAAAATCAATTACAGTGCCGCCGCTGTACCGCTTCGTCCAGTACTGCGCACGCACCGTTCAAGCGGCCCATACCAATATCCACTCAAAATCCCATTTTTCCGTGGAGCCGTGGTAGCTCAGATGGTTAGCGCTCGCTGTAAATTTCACAATACGCGAGCAAACCGGGTTCGATCCCCGCCGGCACCAATGAAATTGTTAATTGCAATTTTAAGTGCTGATTTACCACGTGCTCGTCGGTGAAGGAAAACATCGTGAGGAAACCTGCATGTCTGAGAAATAAGAAAAAAAAATTTCGAAGACATGTGAAGTTCGCCAACACGCATTGGGGCAGCGCGGCGGACTATTCCTTGCCCTAAAAACCCTTTCAAAAATGAGAGGAGGCCTGTGCCCAGCAGTGGGACGTATATAGGCTGTAACTTTACTCTACTTTATCCCATTTTTCAACAAAGACTTCTATAATATATAATACTAGACGTGCACGACGGTACTAATAGATTACGCCGTAAGATACGCTCAATTCTCCCTAACTTCTTCAGTCATGTGTGACACTTTAATCTAGTAGTCATAATCGCAAATGATAATCTTGAGATGTCGAGTTCAAATCCCGAATTGGGACAAAATTCAGTCATTGGATTTTTCTAACAAGAAATTATCAGTCACCTAAAGTTGTCAGGGTTACAACCCCGTGCCTCGGAAAACACATAAAGCCGTTGGTCCTGCGCTTGATCTCTTTCGGGTCGTACCGGATTACCGTCCCATCGGAGTACGAACATAAGAAAATTTAAAATACACCTATGTTTGCGTATACACCCAGACACCATAATCGTGTCCTGTGGAGGTAACTAGTCGGCATTGAGACAAGCCACCGTGATCGAAATTCAGTACAATTCTGTATGAAAGTGGAGCTCTATTACCGAACCACGTCTCAGTGCATTATGGCTGTAATACACATGTGTCAGCTTGACAAAGGAAGAACTACGCTTTCACTAGGTAGACTGTATCCTTGTTTGTACATCTTATTTCTGTACTGCATTATATTTCTTACCTATTACGTATTACATTTTCTTTAAAAGAAAATAATAGGGTGTAAAAAGTCATCAAAGTAAGCCTACGGCGGTGGTATTTTTCATGTTTTTCAGTAAACTTTAATTTTGAAGAAAATAAAACAAAAAAAAATTTAAAATAACGATTTTTTTTTCAAATAATGTGCACCCCACTTTACGCATGGCAAGTATGAATAAATTTGCCCAAGACGTTGAAATACCCGCAACTTAAAAAGTTTAATTTACAATATTGTACTGGATGACCTCTTTTACTGCCTGTAAAAAAATTGGGTGCGACATGTAAACGTAGTAAAAGCCTATGGCACTGATAGTTTACAAAAAATAAAATAAAATCAAGAATTTTTAATTAAATAAATAACTTAATTAAAATATATCGAAATTCAAATCATATTCGCTCTCCTACTTCACAAACGGCAATAAAACAATGAATTAACTTAGGCTTCTTTGACCTTGCCACTTCGCAGGGTCACAGACTAGGATGGATATGATTTGATATTCAATAGATTTTAAATTAATTAATCCATTTAATACAAAATTTTTGTTATTATTTTTTGTAAAATATCCGTGCCATAGACTTCTAATCCGTTTACGTGTTACACCCTATTTTTTTCCAGATGGTAAAAAAGGTCATACAGTATTTATTCATAGGTAGATCAGTTTATTAAAATGTCAATAAAAACAATAAATTTGAAAAATATTTATGCGAAAAGGCTTTTAATTAATTCACCTATTCATACATCCATGCATTACAGCTTCTAAAAGTCCTGAACATATGTCTCCCCATAGGTTGCCACATATGGGGAATTTGGCATAGTCGGCTGGAGGATAAGCGATCGCAGAATTTTATAATTTTAAGTTTTTATCAGGAAGGTGTGCCCATCTCCCGTTTCAGTTTCCCTTTGGCGTATCTCACAACACCCACGGGTCAATATCGGGCAGTGGATAATCATACACTGCCACTACATTCACCTGTTAGGACAATTTTTTCCTTTCGATAAAATATCTCATCTGGTAAATAAAGGGAGTATTCGCTTGTACTGAATACATTATTTTATATTTATAGAATTTTACATTACGAGTATATAACTTACCGTATAACTTTCCTGGAAATGAAGAAGACATCGTCCACCAGACTGGATGGTGGCCCCGTTTGCGCTGCCGAGAGCTTCATTGCCTTGTTAATACTCTCTTCCAAGAAATACCTGTATATTGGTGTAATGTAGGTAGAATATAAAATGTGTAATATTTTGTCATTGTGAATTGTAACGGTCACCGCAGTCTTAATACGCTTCGATTCGACAATTGGTTTGTAATTTTTTTTTAATTTATTTTAATAAAAAATACAATTAATACAAACAATGATTTAATCTAAAAATAGTTTACAATAACAAGTACCTGAACTAGGATAAACTTGTATCTCAGATGTGTGTGCTAATAGATACACTAACAAATATTTTAATAACAAAATAAAACAAGACACACACAACACAACGAGACGTTAAATTCGGCAAGCAGATTTGGTATGGCCTTCAAATTGATCGAGTGACCATTTCATTTTTATGGTCAGTGATACAATAAATCCATAAGCAACCAAATACATGTTTTTGCTATGACTAATACAAAATACTGACAATTCGATACCCTGTAATTGCGATGCCATAGAAATTGTAAATAAGCACACCTATCTTGGTCTACTAATTGATAATCGGCTAAACTGGAAAGAGCATGTAAATCGAGTTTGTGATATATTAAGAGGTATATTAGTAAAATTTACATTAATCAAACACAAAATACCTTACAAAACCTCTTTAATGCTCTATAAATCCTTAGCTGAATCTGTTATACAATATGGCTTGTCAAGCTATGGGAGAACCTATAAAACATATTTAGATCGAATATACTCACTTCAGCTGCGCATTTTAAAACAAATAGTTCCTAATAATCTCAAAATTAATTTTAAAGATGATTATCGAAAACTATTTGCATTTTGTAAAATTATACCTATTCACGACAAAGTTGAACTAACATTACTAACTGAAAATTACTTTACTGAAAATTTTAAAAAGGTAGATAAGTTATTATACTCCGCACGCAGAACTGATAATCTAAAACTACAATTACCTAAATGTAATACTTATACGGAAAAAGAACCTTAAACTATGTTATACCTAATCTAATCAATAAGTTACCTAAATCTTTGAAAGACGTCATAACACGTAAAAACATAAAATATAAATTAAAATTTTTTGTATACAATTAACTCTTACTAAATACTCGTAACACTTAAAACAACTTCTCGTTCTATATTATTGGTTTACTTTACCAACATATTATTATAAATTTATGAAAATATATGTTATAATCATCCTGTATTACGATTATTCACAGAATGTAATAAGTTCACCATGTGATTTTACGCTCATCGCCTAAAACTATTTTATATTTTTATACCCACAAATAGTTTGTCAATTAGAAACATAACATTTAATGCACCTCATTTAAGCTGATAATAATATTAATGTAACTTTGGTAATGTAATGTGTTATAAAGTGTTACTTAGAATAATGTGTCGACAGCAATGGTGTACGGAAAAACTCTAATGAGTTTATGTTTACACTAATACTATTCATCTTTGTAGTCATAAATTTCTTAAAAAAAAAAATAAAAAAAAAAATAAACTACAACTTATTCTACCTTAACACAGACAACATATATATATATATATATATATATATATATATATATATATATATATATATATATATATATATATATATATATATATATATATTGTCGTGAGGGCTACACTACGATAATGAAATAAACCAAACGTAAGCCGTAAAGGTACCGTAAATAATAATTTATTTCTAAAACTCCACATTGTTAGAACCCTATGCACATGTATATTGAATAATCTATATCATTTTATAGCTGATATAGATATGTGCCAAAGCAGAAGGCGAAGTGAAATTAAACTTTATTGTTTTCAATATAATGTTCATAATATTATATAGATTATATATTAAATTTTTTCGTTGAATTCAATACTGAAATTTACACAACAGTCATCAAGGCCCATTAGCTCAGTTGGTTAGAGCGTCGTGCTAATAACGCGAAGGTCGCGGGTTCGATCCCCTCATGGGCCATGTCCTTTTTGAATTTATATTTTTTAATATAAAATGTTTATCATTGTTCTTATTCTAATAATTTATATGTATATAATATATATACAACTTTTCATTATAAATAACCTGATTATTTATTTAAAATTCAGTTCAAAGGCAACTATATTTTAAGAAATAATTTAGTAATTAGATAAGCTTAAAATTAAATTATTTTGATGTTATAGCACATATATACCACATTGTTTTTACCACACATCTCTAAAAATATGCAGGGGCTGAACCTGTCTATCTGAAAGTTTAAAATGTCTATAATATCCTAATTTTGCTATTCTTTAGATATATTAATAGAATAGTGTGTACATTCAACTAATTGTCAGTTAATGTTTTGTTCTAACACTAAAACAAAGTGAGCCTTTCTGTTTTATAGATTTTGATAACTATTAAATATTTGATCCTATACCTTTAAACGAGCAATTCTTGTATGTATATATGTATATATAATCGGAATCTCGGAAACGGCTCCAACGATTTTCATAAAATTTTGTGTGCAGGGAGTTTCGGGGGCAATAAATCGATCTAGCTAGGATTTATTTTTAGAAAATGTCTTTTTGTCCGTATTTTTAGGCAATGAAAAACTGCTACAATATCGTTAGAATAAGAAGGTAAATTTTGACAGTTTGTTAACGATTACATATAGCTTAATTGGTATATTGGGCGGTCACAAAATCGTAATACCATGGTTCGAGCGCAGACCGACCGACCGATTTTTTTAATTTTTTTCAAGTTCCTTTCTTTTTTAAGAAAATCTATTTTTTCGAGCCCTTTTTTTAGAATTTTTTAAAAACACGAAAATTTAAATTAAACTAATTGCACTCATGATTTTTTATTCAAATAACCAGTTCAGTTTTTTCTATTATGTCGCTACGATCAAAAAATATTATTCGCATTTCATCAGTATGTAATTTGTATCTAAATATTACACAGGAATTAAAAAAAACCGAGCGAAAAATACCGAGCAAAGCTCGGTCAACCGGGTACTAACTATTAATTTAACAACAGATTATTTCAAAAATTTGCATAGAAACATGCATTAGACGAATCATTAAAAGCTAAAGGTGGATGATAAAATCACACATATTAATAAACAATTATCATTCTAACATGATGTAAGAATTGTAATAATGAATAAATCGCGTCATACCTTTCCAACTCCAGGTAATGACTTAGCAGATCTTGTGCGGTTCGAATAAGGTCGCTCTCCTGTATGATCTTTTCCACAGCCTCAATGCAGGATGTCCTTTCGGCTTCTGGCAAATTAGCTGTATCTGACTAAAAAAAATTGTCCTTTAACAGTTCTGCTTTTAGATCAAAATAATTGTAATTATTTTAGAGTTTGATACAGCGTGATAATGTTCTTTTTTACAGAATAATGGTGAAGTTCGAGCACACAGTTCATTTGGTGGTAAGTGGATACTGTGGTCCATAGAAATCTACATCTATCCTCGATTAAGAATCAATATGCAGATGCGTTGCCACCCCTGAGGACTAAGCTGAAAAGCCTAATTTCCAGTAAAGGTTCTCTGTTTCTACGCTGTTAACCGGAACGCTGGTATTCCGTGAGAGTGTGGTCCTTCCCTGGTCGAGCCGACCAATTCATACGAACACAATATTAACTTCATCATCGTTGGCAAAAAATAACAAATGAAGTAGATATTTGTTAACTACATCCGATTTATTTATTACTGTTTAATAAATTTTTTTATTTATTTTTTATTTCATTAATAATGAACTATAAACATTACTATTATTTTATTCCTCTAATTTTAACCTATTAAATAGGTACATGTGCAAAAACATCGATAATGGCCAATATCGATATTTTGAGTAGAATAAACACTGAACATCGATGTTAAGCTATCGATATCATCATCGATGTTTCTGCAACATCGATCATCCCTAGTTTGACATGTTTATTTCACGTATTTTTGATACTGTTGTGCATGAAGATTAGAGAGAATAAGAACGATCGCTACAAGCTAAAGCATAGCCTCGAATCCCTGAACTGCCGTCGGTAAGTAGTATCTGCGAAGTTAGTTGTTTACGAGATGACTTCTTACTTACCTAATGGTAAGTGTAAATGAAGTTAGTTGAATAATGAACAAATTTTCTTTGCGGCACTGGTGAGAAAATAATGTGCTCCGTAATTTTTTAATTTTGGAAAAAAAGAAACATTAAAAAATGGTGAAATATTCTATTGTGCGTGGATGTGCAAGTGGTTTAGCATCTGATCAAAATAGACTGAAAATGACTTTTGTTGAGACAACTTAGCGATCGCAGCGCCTCACATATTTTGTTCATATTTCTGGGACACTATTTTCTACAGCGATCGTTCTCCTTCTCTCTAACCTCCACGCCGTTGTGATAACTGACAGCTCTCCTTCTATGATCAGCGATCGCTTTATCGTTTCCTGTCATTTTCTATAAGCACAGAGCAACTAAATCTGTGAGACGCCATGTTGAAAGTCGATAAAAATAAACAGTTATGACAAGCAATTAATAAACATCAATTGCTTACCACGACATGATACATTTAAATGAATTATCTATATTTTTCCCGAATTCTACAGATTTTCCTCTTTTTTGAGGTAGTGTACAGTGTAGTGTAGACCTGGCCCATTTTGAAACATCTGCTTTGCAAAGTTCAGTGAAACATGTGCCCCTAATGAAGGCTCATTAGGGAATAATCTAACCAGTAGTGTTGCCCAAATGCAAGAACAAGACGAGACTTAACCATTCTTGGTCTTGGTCTTGCGCCAATACACCTGGTCTTGTTCTTGGTCTTGGTATTGCGCTCTCAGTCTTGTTCTTGGTCTTGCGTCTTGCGCAAGTCTCGCAATTACCTATTAGCCTATTGTTATTTATTAAACGTTACTTCAGATCTTAGAACAACTTGACAGAGTAGGCACATTTTGAGCTTGAATTAACATAGCCATAGAAAGACCAACCAAATTAATAAATGTCTAAACATTTAATGAGAAATTCGAAAAATCAACTAATACCGGGTGGGGTTTGAACCCACGACCTAAGCGATCCGTGCGGATGCTCTAACCAACTGAGCTGTCTACCAAGTCTCACGGCCACGGGAGTTAGTCTGTTTCTTAATAAACGTTTACATTCAATAAGCTTACATGTGCTAAAACTCAGTCAAAACATATAAAAAACAAATTAATGACATTAACTTGACTGTATTATAAAGAACATTATCTGTCTAGAAAGAAATTGATAGACCCTTATATGAAATGGAATAAAAGAGTTATACAATTTACCATTTATTTAAATAAAAAAATAAAATACAATACAAATTAAATTACGTAACAGTAAACAACAGCTTTGACATTACTGTTACTTTATATTAATTCTTTTGACCAAGAATTAATACAAAGTAACCATCTGGCTGACTCATCACTTAACCTATTTCTATGTTTTCTAATTACTAATGATGCTTTAGAAAATAATCTCTCAGCAGGTACTGAAGTTGCAGGTATTGAAAGAAAATCACGGGCCATCTTCGATAAAGTCGGATATTCTGTCTCATGCGTCCTCCGCCACTCTAAAATGTCTTCCAAACTGGTGGCTCTGGGTTTACTTAGGTACTCCTCCAACTCGTCTATAACTAAGCCTTGATGAAAAGATCCAGATCCAGATGACGTCGAGGGACATGCATACAATTTCTCAAAGTCTATTACGTCTTCATCTTCATCATATTCACATACTTTCTTTTCATTTCTTGGTGATTCTAGAGATGTATTCACTGAGTGTAGACTTTTATATTCTTTATAAAGTTCATTAAATTTGCGCAGGCTTTCAGTTTTAATTTGCTTCCCCATAATGTCATGTCAAAAGTCTGAGTCTTATGCCTTGGGTCTAAAATTAAAGTGGTACAATAAATCCAGTTGCTCTTTTAATAATGTTTAAGCATTTTGTCTCGAGCTGCTTGAAAACCCAGAATGAGCCTTTCATCCACTTCGGATCGATTAGGTTTCTCATCCAATTGTTTTACTATGGATTTAATTTTATCGAACAAGAGATTGAATGATACAATGACTAGCGGTAATGTAACATATTTTTCTCGTTGATAGAAGTTTAAAGTTTGTTAGAAACTTATGTATTTTTTCGAGTATTTGCCATTCACTATCTGTGATTCGAAAATCATTCAATTCAGTGACAGAAGTGTACAATATGCCAGTTCTCACTTTTGAACCAAATCCAATCATATCATGTGTGGAATTCCATCTCGTTGGACAGTCGAGTATGGGGTTCAGATTTGATGTCACGCCAGCTGCTTCACAAGCAGACTGAAACTTCCTCTTCAATATCTCACTTCTTTTTATTTTACTGGAAATACTGCGTAATTTTGTTATAGCTGTACGTGAGTCAGCAATATCTGGCGCATATTCTTCATCTTCCTCAGTTTCGTCTACATTATCTTCATACTGCTGTTCTTGTCCCTTACTGTCAGTTTCACTGTGTAATGCTAAGGTCTTTAATAAATCTTGTACACCAAGGTTCAAAATGTGAGCAAAGCGCCGGAAATTTTGATTGTCTGAATCAAAGTGTGGCAGCTGTTTGTCCAATTCATACATAAATTTGGTATTTGCAGTTGCGATGTCGACCGTGATACCCTGTATTTTATCAATTATGTCATATTCCAATAAACATTCGTGGAAAATCGTTGCAATATCTTCCCCAGTATGTCGACCGCGTATGGTATAAAATCGAGGACTACAGATCGATACTTCTGTCTATATATGAATAGTCCCTCTCCTACCAGCATTGACGTCCATCCATCATTAAATGACATTTTAGATGAAAATTGTTGTAGTCGTTTCTTAAGATTCAATTGAAGCTCTTAAAACCGTTCTTTGACCTTCCTTCTAAGTGTGGACCTTTTAGAAAACACCATATTTGGGCAAATTGATTGAAAATATACTTGTGTAGCTTCGTCATCGAAAAATGAGAAGGGAAGATATTTTTTAACCATCCAATGAACTGTAGCTGTCGTGATGTTGGCACTGCTATTTTCAGACTGAAATAAAACAGTAAATCATGTGTATCCCGATATATAAAAACAAATAATATATATGAATATATATAATATCACTACTATATAACGATATATGAATATAAAACATACCACACTTGAGTAAGTTTTCTAATGGCATAAAATCCTGAATAAGCTGTTTTGCGAAAATCTATCCCTAAGGGGGTTAAATTGGGGTAAAATGGTTACATGCAAGTCCTATATTTTTTTAAGTATAGATATGAAGATCGACATTTACTTTATTAGTTTTAAATAATAAATACTTGCATAGTTAAACTTTACCTATATAGCCTCTTTATACTTAGGTAATACTTTTGCAAGAAAGATATTAGATGCTTCCTTAAGCCTGAAGTGTTTCTGTTTTTCATTTTTATTTCAACCTTTTTATGTTGGCATAATTTACACAAAGCAATTTGAGATGCATGAATTATGTCGAAAAACTCATCAAATTTACTTTTAGGTCTTTTAGATCTATAACTCCAACTCTCACTACTCCGACTAGAACTATTCGAGTTCGACTCTTCGTCACTCATGTCAAATTGTAAACTTATCACTCCGAGAACAACAAGGATTAGAGTAAAAACAATTAATACATTACTCAATTGGGAATGACTGGAATTAAAATAAATACTACTATTTGTAAGTACACGCCGAAAGACCGACAAAGGAAAGTTCGCCATCATTTGATAAAATTAATGATTCTTCAGAAGATTAATAAAGTAGATGCGTTGCCAGATAGGTATTCTATAGTGTGCCTACGTAAAAATGAAATGTAAATAAAATTGTGTATATTATGTTCTTCTTGTGATTGAATTAATCTACGTTAATTAAATTAAATTTGCCTTCACTCGTTTGAAATTCAAAATTCAAATATGTTTTATTCAAGTAGGCATTAAAAATACACTTTTGAATAGTGATATAATCACTGTTTTCCCCAATTTTTTCTTTTCCATGTCCAGGGGTTCTGATTCTACTGAGAAGAATCATGGAAGAAAGTAAGACACTCAGTAGTTGCTCTTTTCAAAATATTTTTACAATAGTTCTATAATTATGTAAAGCGATAAGTCAAACATAAAATGTCAAATGTATATGTAGATACCAAATCGGTTTAGAAATTTCTAGTTAGTCCTGTGTAGTACGAGAGGTCAGTTCCAAGCATTTTTGTCTGACTTAAATTGAAAAGGTGAAAGATCTAACATTTCTTTTGGAATCCTATTATAAAAGCGTATATCGCTACCCAAGAACGCATTATATACTTTGTGTAACCGGAAAGCAGGTATTGTGATTTTATTTTTATTTCTACTATTAAAATTGTGCAAATCACTAATATTTACATCAATTCGATGCAATCAATTTCTTTAAACGGTTCTCTAAGAGATACTCGGGCTCCTAAAAAGTACATAGATCTTATTTTACGCTTTTTATTTAATATGCACACTTTTATATTATTCGATTAGCATTGTACAAAATGTTTACACGTTTCAAGTGTGTTAAAAGTGTCTACAATATTTATCAAATGGGTGACGACATATTCGAACACTTTGTGTTCAAAAACACACTTCCAAAAATCGAGATTTGCAGTGAACTTATTGAACATGTTTATCTATTAGGTAATAATAATAAAAGGATACAAGCACCACACATGGTAAGTTGCGACCCGGAAAAAAAAAAGGGAAAAAAAAGACTAGTAAGTTGCAAAAACACCCAAAAATTAAGCTGCTATTATAAACCCATATAGTTAATATTATAATAATTATTTACTAGAATAAATTATTATGGTATCTACCTATCCTTACCATTATCTAATTACAATATTCCTTGCGAGATCAGCATAATGTATTCGTGTCCATTCTGAGCAACCGGAAACTTATTTTATTCTTTGGAACATGTACTCTGTGGCGGCATTCAAACAGTGTCAAATGTAGTGCGTGCGGCGCGGCGGCAACGATTGAATGCGATATCAATAGAAGCCGCCGGCGCGTGTATCTTGACCTTGTACTTCCGAATAGCTGCAAAATTTCTTTGACCTTTGATGATGCCGACAACAAGACGCCGCGCACTATCAAAGTGCCGATGGTCAAAACTAGGGATGCACTGTTTTTTCTTTTAATGGATATTTTCATCCGCTATGTATGTTTATGGTATTGTTCGTAATGCGCATAAGTCCAATTTTCCAATTTTTCTTAATATATTTTTGCGTCTCATAGAGTCCCTAAGCGTATACCCGAACTCCTATACTCCCTGAAACGACACTCATACCTAACTGCAAGACGCAAGAGTCTCGCAGGCTTAGTCTTGTTCTTGCTCAAATCTTGCACGGTCAGTCTTGGTCTTGGTCTTGCTAAAATTAGGCGGTCTTGTTCTTGATCTTGGTCTTGCAAAAAAGCAAGAACAAGACCAAGACCGATTTTGGGCAACACTACTCACCAGATGTCATTAGTTGGGACTGAGGTGAAGTTATTTGTTACACAGTGTTATTATAATTACTAAGTTGCGACAAAAATAAAAGTTTAATGATTTCTGTTATGTAAATACCCGTAACTATAACTTAATGGCTTGCTGTTTTATTTTAGGCAAAATTTTTTACAAATTGAAAAAAATTCAACCATGACATTTTCCTAAAAAATTAACTAATTGCCTCGTCGTGAAATATGTTAAATATTCCATCTCATTCCTAAGTGCCGCCTAAGAAGGTTACAGATGCGTTGTCCTCTCTGAGGATTAACCATTTCACTGTCCCATGAGTCATATATGAACATTTCGATTGTTTAACTATTGTGTCTATTTCGCGGACAGGGAAGTTGTTAAGACTAAATACGTCACGGCCTGTACTTATATTGGTTCATTATACACTTCAGACCGATCAGTGCAAGCATTGTTATTTGGCGGCAGAAATAAGTAAATGGGTGGGACTTCTACGTATAATACTAGACTCGCTATTCGGTCGTAATATATTACCATAGACTTATTATACCACTGCGAATAGACCGAGTCATTGAACAAACAAAATGGCACCGACTCCTTGTTTATGGAGCACCAACGCAAGCACCAATGCGTGCCGTGCGTACGTGCAGTGTTTCCACTTTTAGATATTTAGCACTATTTTAGGGTAAATCTACTAATATAGGTAGCGTTATAGGCGTTTCTTCAAGATTACAGAACATCACAAAACTCAAGATTTTTAATCGTGAAACGATATAGAAATCTTTCAATGATATTGTTCTTTAAAATATTGAAAATTAGGTGCAATAAATAATGCAATTTTGAGTTTTTTAATGATAATTTAGGGAGTATATCTACAGGTTCTAGGGCAAAACCAAAATCATAAGTTGAAACACTGGTTCCGTGGCAGTTTTTGAGTATTTAAGAGAAGGCGCTGATTTATTCTTTGCTTAAACCGTGAAAATTTTTGTTCGCACGATCATATCTTGTCATTTTTTTCGATGTACATTACGCATTAAGTGACGGTCTTTCCGTACCGTTTTTAGTCGACTGCCAGCGAGCGAGATGATTACTTCTTTGTATTGTAAACCGCGAACGTTGGTTCGACATTTTTTTTGTCATTATTTAAGTGCACATTGTGTTAATGGGATTTTAATTAATTATAGACAAGTATGTAATTTATCTTTTTTTATATAGGATAGGGTGACAAACGAGCACACAGTCCACCTGACGGTAAGTGGTTGCTGCGGCCCATAGACATCTACATCTATCCTCGATTACTAATCAAAATGCAAATGAGTTGTCACCCGTGAAGACTAAGACGGAATGCCTCGTTTCCAGTGAAAAGGGCCTTCTGTTCTCTTTATGTGACTACCGCCTTCCATGAACAACTGTGGCACCAGACGAGTTGCCGGCCTTTTAAAAAGGAGAAGGCTCTTTTATATGCTGAAAAAGAGTTGTACAAGGTAGAAGAGCGTAAAGGACGATTTAAACTTCAACAAGTACAGTAACGAGTTAACTTGCGATGTGCGAACCTAGCGAGTTAAGTAGAACTGAATGGTAATTTAAGAGTTAAGTAGGAAGTTAATACTTAAGTTGAACGGAATAGCCAGCCGGTTCATTTTTCGGCGAGTTAAGTTCGAAGTACTTACTGCCCTAACGCGCGTAACCATATCGCCACCCATAACTAAATTCGCCACTCCTGTGTACGAGCGAGTTTAGTTCAATTCATAAGTTGCCAGGACGTAACGTGTTCGCGTTCGATCTTCATAATATAAAATTGTATATTTTTAAATAAACTCACCAAGAAGACTTGAACGTTACTGTCGACCTAACCGTTTAATAGTAAACGGTTAAGTGGACAGTATTGATAGCAACTGCCCTGTAACTAAACTCGCTACTGTGCTTGTCGAAATTTAAATCGGTTATTAGTTACGGCAGTGTTGCGGCGCAGGAAGGCGAGGTAGAGCTGCAGGCGCGAGTGCGCCAGCGCCAGCTCGCTGAGTTGCGGCTCGGCGGCGCGCGCCTCGCCCGGCGGCCCCCCCGCACCCACCACGCCCCGCGCCCGCGTCGCCAGCGAGCCGCACACGCGCCGCGCGCCCGCGCACACCTGCACACCGACATTCACATTAACATCTTTTTCAAGTAAAACTTCTATGCACGCAATTGACTTGAGAAGTAAGCTGGCGAACGCGTGACGACAGCGTTACAAAAAGTGTGATCGGGTGAGACGAACGGGAGTTGAGTGGGGGATATAAGCAAGAGAGAGCAGTGCACGCGCACATTTTCTTTCTCTTTTTGTCTCATAGCCAGCTAGGTTCCGTATTTTATGAATTAAAATTATATTCAATACATTAAATATTCTACGTTTAAAATGAATAATATTGTAAATTCATTTTAATTTTTAATAACAAATAACATCTGATGAATTATAAATAATACTTACACGCAAAATACGCGCGCGTTATCTTATCTTAAATAATACTTAATTCGTGGATATTGGTGTACCTTTTATGTATAAATTGTATACTTATTCGCGGACAACGGTGGTAGTTACACATTACCTATTAAATTAAGATTTAATTTATATTAAAAGAAACGTCATTGTTTGTTATACCGAAAAAAGTTTCAAAAAATGTAGATGTAAATGCAAGTATAGACGTAAAAATATTTTTTTTACAGAATAAGAGTGACAAACGCATACACAGTTCACCAATGGTAAGTGGATGCTGTGGCCCATAGACACTACCACATCCACGATGAAATGTCTCGTTTCGCTTTAACGCTGGTATTCTTTGAGAGGGTGGTCCTTTCCCCGGTCAAGTCGACCCATTCGTGCTACAAACATAATATAGCTGCAGCGTGGCTTTACCACGTATAACACCTACACCTAGTAAGTTCATATGTAGGTAGGTGTAAATACAGATGTACGTAAGGTGAAAGTGCAGGTGTATGTGTAGTGTAGGTGTATGTGTAGTGCAGGTGTATGTGTAGTGCAGGTGTATGTGTAGTGCATGTGCAGAGGCTGGGCACTGACCACGGGCTGCAGCAGGCGCAGCGCGCGCGGGAAGTGTTGCGGCGCCTGGGCGAGCCGCAGCAGCGCGCGCACGCGCTGCAGCGCCCCCGCGCCCGCCTCCAGCACACGCGTCAGTGCATCCGCGTGCACCGCCTCCACGCCCCCCGCACTCGCTCCCTCCACCACGCTCGCCTTCCTGATCTTTGACTCCGTCTGTAAAAGTCGCAGATAAATACACGAAACTCTGGCAATGTCTGAAGATAACAAAACGTATGATAACAACACTGTGGCCGTAAAGGAAAAGGGGAGATCTCCCGCCGGGCAAGGTGTTCTGCTCGGGGAGCGGCCAACACTCCGTGTGATAGTTCGGAGATGTTCTACTGTTTATGATTCGGAATTTTGATAGCGTGATTTAGGCTTCGGTGTGTTTCGCTTGTGGCGCGACGACAGCGCCGCCACATCACCCTTTAACTGATGCATGTGTAGTTGTGTCGGAAATGAAATAAGTCCTTGTAAGAGATAGCGTTTAATTATATAACGCTATCTCTTACAAGGACTTATTAGACAGACATGTAGCATTATACCGTCATTTAGTAAACATCCAATGCGTTTCGTCCGTTGAAATTAATGATTATTCAGTGTTTAAAGTGAAGTGCACTACCAAAATCCCTCACCTAAGAAGTCTAACTTTACGTGAAACGATCGGTGCAGTAATTATTGAGTTTTTAACCAAAACATTTTCTAAAACGTGGTGATTTGTATAAAACCGTGACCTACGACAACTCGCCGCTTACTCGCTGTGACGTAGACGGGCTCATTGCATCGTTAGGCCGTCCGCACAGTTATCAAGTCTACAAGATGGATTCATATAGCTGCGTCGGTTGTAAAAGTGATATAGCAAGTAATGAATTTATAAGTTGTCATGGTTGTAAATTAAAGTACGATGTGTTGTGTGCAAACTTGTCACCAAAGCGATTTAGGAAAATGAGCCTAGAAGCTAAAACTCAATGGAAATGCTCAGAGTGCAAAAGCAAGCAACCAAAAACAGGCAACTTAGATATACCAATTCGCTCTATTAGTCACTCCAAGATTGATGACAAAGTTAAACCCGAGTATCTATCTCAAGTTTGTAATGTAACTGTGCGAAGAAATCGTTCAGTGGACTCACAACTTTCTCAAGAAAAATTCAAAGAAATCCTAAAAAAAGAATTGATAACGGAAATTGAGGCCATGCTTAAAAAAATACTGACTCGAATGGTATCAATTCAGCTGAAGGATATAAATAGTCGCTTTGTCGAACTTCAAGAGTCTATGAATTATATTTCTGGACAATATGATGACTTAAAAAAACATCTAGACTCCACCACATCGGATTTGCAGTGCCTCCAGGATGAGAACAAATTCCTCAAAGAACAATTAAATCACCTCACAACTCCTGTGAAGACTCTGGAAGACGATAACATGAAGCAACAACAGTAGGCCAGATTGCAAAATATCGAAATCGCTGGCATACCAGAAGATAAGGATGAGAACACATTAACTATTATACAAAAGATTTCGAAGCATATTGGAGTCTCAATCGAACCCTCTGAAGTGGAGTTTACGCATCGCGTGCAGCCGCGGCGTGCCACAAGCACCGTGCGTGCGCGCCCTATTGTCGCTCGGTTAAGGCATCGTTTTACTAAAGACAAAATAATGGCCGCTGCACGTAAACATCGTAATTTAAAAGCCAGTGATAAGGGGTTTGGATGTGTAACTAAATTATTTTTATAAATGAACATTTAACAAAAGAAAGTAAAATGCTTCGTTCACAGTGCAAACGAAAGGTAAAGGAACTAAATTACAAATTCATTTGGACAAAAAACTGCCGTATTTTCGTTCGAAAAAACGAGGCTTCACCTCCAATCTCCATATCTTCTTCGGCAGATATTGTGAAAATTATTTAAAATCTATTTACCTGTTTATTCAGTGTAATTTGAAGCGTTTTCGTAAATTACTTGTGAAAGGGTATGCACTTGTTACAAATTCTATGCTTTTTTATCAGTTAACACTACACTACCAACTAGATACACTGTACACTATCAAAAACTCACACACGTATCATACATTATTCTCACATACATTAATAAACATTACCAAAATCACATATACCTGCACTCATCTAACGCTTTACTTATATACATATATTTATTACATTCTCAAATATAAATACAGAACATCCTTTAAAAGATATAATGTAATTTATTATCGATCAATAATAATATATTTACAAGTAAAATTTACACATTTATTAATCATTTATTACTTATTCTTATTAAAAACTATTATTAAGTATAATTATTCATATCTTACGCCTATACCTAGCTACATTTTTAGGTACCTTGATTATGTAATTGTTCACTATAACTATTATAAGTACTGGCATCGTCAACTGTTTTTTCAATGGATACTACACTGAAAGAATTAAAACTGTATTATCAGAACGTACGGGGTTTGAGGACTAAGACTAATGAATTTTATAATAATTTACTGTTGCTTGATTACGATGTGGTTATGATAACCGAAACTTGGCTTTATGACGGAATCCTGGATTCAGAACTATGTAATAATAAATATAATGTGTCGTGACCGTGGGTCGTTGGGAGGTGGGGTCATGTTAATGTGTGCACCATACTTGCAGGCCTGTATGAGATCCGAATGGCATTGTGATAACCTTGAGTGCGTTTGGGTGACGGTGCCTTCTAGTGCTGTGGGATTAGAGCACGACCTCCACATAGCAGTGGTTTACATACCCCCTAACTCATCACTCTCAGAGAGAACCAGACTGTTTGTAAATCTTATTTCACAAATACGTAATAATCATCCCAATGATCAGTTTATACTTGTAGGCGACTTTAACCTACCGTGTATAGACTGGACACAAGATGGACCTGTCATACTCAGGAAAGCCCCTGCTGAAGTCCAGAATTCTGCATCACAGCTCATTGACCATACGGCTTTCATAGGTCTTACGCAATATAATACCATCTTAAATAATAGTAATAAAATACTAGACCTAATTTTTTCAGACTCCTCCGTCATTGTTAGTAGACCCAACTTTCACCTTGTTAAAGAAGACTGTCACCACCCTTCACTCATTATCACTGCGTCAGATATACTCATACCTCCCTTGAAGACACAATCGCGATCAAAGTATATTTATGAGCGTGCTGACTTTAATATCATTAATCAAATGTTAAATCAACAGGATTGGTCGTTTATATTAGACATTAACACAAATATTGAGCCTATAATAGCTGGTTTTTATGCAATTATAAATAACTGCATAGAAACATATGTTCCTCAGGTTTACCACTCTGGTGTACACACTTATTTATTTATTTATTTTATTTTATTTTATAACTTTATTGCACTTAAAATGTACAATTGGCGGACTTAATGCCTTTAGGCATTCTCTACCAGTCAACCATGGGCTAAGCAGAGAACTTTAGCAGGTGCCATAAAATATGTGGATAATTTATACGTAAATTTAAATACATAAATAGACATACCATAAGCGTAAATACAAAAATAAATATACACAACTACAATTAACCTAAGTAATATATGATACATTTCATACATAATGTTTAAATAGTACATAATACATACATTTTAAGTATACTTACATACGAACATAACTAAAACAAATTAAATAATTTAAGATGTCAAGTCACATATAAGCAGAAACAAATATGAAAGTTACTTGCTGGAAGAAGAAAGGTAGTGATCAGTCACCATCCTCTTAAATGTGGCAACAGAAGTCGGTTTTCTGATATGAGGGGGTAATTTATTCCATAGCCTTATGGCCTCAGCGGCGAAAGACTGAGACATAAATTTGGTACGGCGAGGAAAAACACATAATGTAGTTCCCTCGGAGGATCGCAGGTTACGATCGTGAGAAGAACCCAAATACTGAAACTTGCATTTCAGGTATTGGGGAGTGCATGGATCATATAGGATTGAAAAAAAGCGTGCGAAGAATTTTGATACATCTACGCTGATGGATAGGGAGCCATTTAAGTTTAGAACGATATATGGATACATGATCGTATTTACGAAGGCCAAAAATAAAACGGATGCAATTATTTAATAAACGATCCAATTTGCACAGAAGTAGTTGACTCACATCAGAGTAACACACATCAGCATAATCAATGAGTGGTAAAACAAGCACTCGCACCAACATAGCCTTAGTCTCGGTTGGAAGGAAATTCTTGAAACGATAAAGGCCACGCAGGGCAATTGTCACTCTCCGGCTTATTTCAGCCACCTGAGAACGCCAACTTAAATTAGCATCAATCATTAACCCAAGGTCTTTAACTACTTGACTAAGAGGAATAATTGTGCTATTGTAAACGATAGGCTCCAGTGAATTAAAATCTAATTTAGCTATACGGCGAGGACTACCGAGAATTATCGCTTGACATTTAACAGGATTGACAGCAATTCCATAATTTCTGCACCAGTCACAGATGGCCTCAAGATCTAGATTTAAAATTTCGATCGCGGAGTTAACCTCTGCTGGATCAATCCGCGCGTACAGCTGTAAATCGTCAGCATGCAGATGGTAGGAGCATTTGAAATTTACACTTATGAGATTTATAAAAATAGAAAATAATAAAGGAGAAAGAATTCCGCCTTGTGGAACGCCAGTAGTAAGATCAGACCAATCAGAGAAAGACTGTTGGTTGACTTTAACTCTTTGCTGGCGACCACGAAGATAAGTTGATAACCAATCCAAAACTGACGAAGAGAAACCCATGTATTTACAGATAGCAAGAAGAATGTCATGATCAACTGTACAGAAAGCATTGGAGAAGTCAATTAATACGAGAACCGTTAATTTTGATTCCTCCATACCCTCTCGTATATCATCAAGAACTTTAAGGAGAGCAGTGGTTGTACTATGCCCAGGACGAAAACCTGATTGCAAGGGACTAAGAAGATTATTTTTATAAATGTAGCTAGATAACTGTTTGTATGCAGCTGATTCTAAAGTCTTTGAAAGAAAGGGAAGTATAGAAATTGGTCGAAAATGGTTAACAGAACTGGGATTATTTAACTTGGCAAGTGGAAGGACAAATGCTTTACGCCAAAAAAGATGGAAAAACCCCAGTAGAGAAAGAAAAATTGATGATGTGGGTAATGATTGGGAGAATGTTGTCAAGTAT